GGTAGTATACTTAATTAGGCACTCAAAAGGTGCAGATATGGCTAGAATGTATCTTTGTCAGAATGTACTTGTCTGGGGCCCCTTTGATAAGGGCACCACATGATCCTAATATCTAATAAAAGTGATAAGCCAAAGAGGCTAACCTTGACTATAAAAAAAAAAATAAATTAATTAAGCTATAATCAATTAATCGATCTGAACCTAATAAATTTTAGTTAATTAGTTAAAAAAATTCTTAATTGGTTAACAAAATACAACTAGTTAAAAAAATTCTTAATTGGTTGACTCAATATAACTGGTTGAAAATTGGGTAATTGGTTGGCATAGTATAAAAATAATGTAAGGAGAAAATAAAGGATCTGAAAAGTTTCAAAAAGAAAATGAATAAATATAAAGATAAGACAAAAATTTAAGTAAAGCACCAATAATTTCTGATGGTAGTAGACAGTTTATCTATACTAGTTAGAGCTTACTAATTCTTTATTCGAATAATATTCGAATAATTTAGATCAGCAAACTTCTATTTGAATATTCGATGAATGAATAATATTTGTCAAATAATTCAAATATTCGAATAATTACAGTTATTCAAATAATAAATTATTCAAATAACTATAATTATTCGAATAATTTCTGTTATTCGAATAACTATAATTATTTGAATAATTTTAGTTATTCAAATAATTACAGTTAGTCGAATAACTGTAATTATTCAAATTGATATTCAAATTATTCAAATCAAGACCGATACAGTATTCATATAATTACATATATATGCTAGTGCTTCTATATATTTAAATAAATTATTTGAATAGGAATTATTATTCAAATAATTTATAATTATTCAAATAAAAATATAAATTATTCGAATAATAATTCTTATTCGAATAATTATTTTTATCTGAATAAATATAAATTATTCAAATAATAATTTTTATTCGAATAAATATAAATTATTCAAATAATTTATCAAATAATTTTAGATAATTGTATTCGAATATTCACTAAATACAAATATTATTTGAATAACAAATATGAATCCAAAGCTCTAATATTAGTTGGCAATAGTTGAATGAAATAATTTGGTTTAGTTAACTTATTAAGAAAATTTTTCTTAGTTAAATCACTACTTTAAATAGTCAAAATAATAATAATTTAATTATTACAAATTATTATACATTAAATAGTAACAAAAATTATAATAAATTTTGATTATATTAATAATTTACAAAGCAAGTATAGAAATAAATAATTTATTATTATGATCATATTAAATATTAAATATGCAGCATATAAAGATTTTGCTTTGCAATATAAATTAATTGAACAAAAAAATTCACTCTTATTTAAATATCTAGTTAACAAGTTTCACATTAATCAAATGCAAAAATATTTTAATTTATTGATAATAAATATACAGTACAAACAACAAATTACAAAAATTATTAATTTATTGTAAAATTATTTATTATTAAAAATTATTTAATTTATTGCTACATAAAAAATGCACATTATTGCTAATTTTTAATAACATAAATTGATTGCTAAATCATATAAATCTAAACCAACATTGGAATTTAAACTCAATATTGTAATAAATGAGCAAAAACCTGAAATTTCGGTTTTTGCCGGCTCCACTTTTCAGAAACAGTGATCAGATTCCTGATGAATTATAATAAATTGTATAATAAATTCTATTTGATGAATCATGTGTCTAATAAGTCATTTCTATAAAATTGATTTCAGAAAACTCACAATTGCAGATTTTCCCTTTGCAGTACTCAAATATTATCGCGTAATGCACGTCGTCATGACATGAATGTTATTGTGTAACAAATATTATCGTAACCAAGAGGAATTAGTTGAGCACATATATAGGCGAAACTACTACTAAAAAAAAAATCAGATAGAGTTACAGAATCACGCCACTTACAAAACAACCACAGCAAGACAAAATCAGCAAGGTCTATTATCCCGAAAAAGAAAGGTGTTAGTATATTCACAAACAAAAAAAAAAAAAAACCTAGATATAGGAAAAACCTATTTTAAAAAGAACCAGCACAGATAACAGAACAGTCGAATGCGCCAACGACACGAACGAAACACAAAAATGACTATACAAATGAAGCAAAGATAATTATGACACCAACGATGATGCTAGCTTCGACACCAACGACGAAACAGTGCTGAAAAAAAAAAAATTGCTTAGTAAAAGGAAGCGAGAAAATTAAACAAAAAAAAACATACATAAATAAATACCATAAATCCAATAAAATATCAAAAAGTAGCTTTAATTAGATTTTCAGTTAAGATCACGAAAATGGTTTCTTAAAAGCTTATGAAAGCTTTCATTATTTGCATATTGAAGTATCATCAGTATTCATGCGTATTGAAGTACCATCAGTATTTGTTTGTTTTTGTGTTTTGTATCAAACCATATATTTTAAACTTGTATCTGAAATGTGTATTTCATACTATATAGTCAGTTTAATATGCAGTTAATAAATCGCGCAATAAATAATTAACTTACTTCTTTTAAAAAACTTTAAATGCCTTAAGCGCAACTGTGCTAGATAGTTTACAGACTCTTTTGGCTTCAGCGTTTAATTTTTTAGATCTTTCATATACCATCCAACCAGAATGTAAAAATACAGAACCAAATGCTTCTTTAATTTTTTAATCTATCCATTCGATCATACGTTCATAATCCCAGAAAACTGAAAATTTTAGTAGTCAGTAAACTAGAAAAATAAACCGAAATTGCAAAACCCATTTTCATTGACTTACCTAAAAAAAAAAAGTATATTTTAACTTATGTGATGTTCTATGATCATATGGGTGATCGCGACTATAATTGCATAATCTGTAATAAATTAAAAGTATATTAAAGTTTGTATAAGTTAAATATGAAGGTGAAATAAAAATGATCTAATAATTAGTCTTTTAAAAAGAAGATAATGAAATATATACCATAAATCATAGCTATGAGAGACCCATACAATTGTTGTTAAATCACGGCATTAAATACATACTGCACTACAGCAAAAAATGTCTCTAAGTTAAACTCTAATAAGAACGGCTATCATCTAAAAATAGAATATAGAAATACAATTCCAAACCATATTAATTCTCTATACAAGATAGCACCCTTTCATATCAGTAATAATGGTGGTGTTCAGTTATTATTTGGGTAAGCTGTTGAACATTATTTATATTCACTTTCTCTATCACAAAACAAAATTCAAAGCCAAGAACGAGTTAGTTGAGCAGTAAAACAATAACTTGTGTAGTTAAATGCGACATATGTAATATAATATGACAATGCTACTATATAATTTTTTTTTTTATCGAATTCAAGATATGCTGTGACACAATTATTGTCGTGTAGCATTATGTGGGTTGAAAACGATGTGAATCTTTTTTAGGGTGGGACAATAAAAATAGGTCAAGTGGTCAAAAACGATGTTTTTTGCACTGAAATTAAATACAAAACAAAAAAAAAAATAGCAAAAAGAACTAAATTTACCTGAAAACCTGCTTCTAAATCTTTAGCTTGGAAAGAAAGAACAATTAATTAAACAAAGTATCTATCTGGGATTTCGAATTTAATAAAAGAATCTAGAAAAAAAAGAATGTTTCAGTGAGGTAGAATATCAATAAACTTCTATTTAGAAATGTATATAATATTTTACTTATAATAGGTCTACACCTTATAGCGCGATTCAACGTAATTCAATTTGATTTTTCTGTAGAAACGTTCGCTACGAAGATATTTAATTAGTGATGCAATATGCTGATACTTGTTTTTTTTATAAGTTTGATTATATGCGAAAATTTTGATTTTATAGTACTAAGCTATATAAATATTTGTATAACATTGATCCTGGAATTTATCAGATACGAATGTCCTCCCTGCTGTCTAGCATAGCTAGAAACATAAGAAAATGATAAGTTTTTTAAGACAGTGGTATCGAAGCAATGATTACTATATGAAAGATAGATAAACAACACTCTTTACAACTTTATACCCATAAGTAGCAAAGGTTCTATAGACCTATCAACTCTACTTCAAGAAACATTGCAGAATAACATGCAAACTGTTAATAGCAGCACAGATAATAGCCAAATGCAAACCTCTACACAACAGAACTCTAACACCTCTGGACAACAAGTAGGTTTTTTACCTACTCTTTGGCTTACTTCTCTCACAAAACGACCAACTCAAAGACTACAACAACTGCTAGTACATAACAAAAGGACCCAACAGCAGAATATACCAAAGAATTTATTAATATTACTATCAAAGACTAGACAAAACTTACTTTCACTGTCACCTTCATCATCTCCAACTTCACAAATAGATACTTATTCACTATTAACCTTACCAGGTCAGGACATATTCCAAATTTGGTCAAATTTCCAGCACAATGGATATGCAAGTATAATAATGTTACCCAATTAATTCTATTTGGTCTTACAAACTACTCTAAATATAACTTTGTATATATTAATACCAAATTATCTAAAAGTATTCATAGCTATAACCTAGAGATAATAATTAAAGCATATGAAGACACACAAAGAGCTTATAATTCAAAAAAGCTCCAATAGTTCCTTATAATCTGATATTAGAAATCAATACAGATGATGATAGTCACTAAAATAAGAAGACAAATAATGCAACAAGTGCTACACCTACTTCTTAAAAAAATATAACCAATACCAATACCAAAACAGTATACTATAACACAACAGCTTCTACAAGTACAAACAAAACAACAAGTTTTACAAACAGAGCTAATAAACATTTATCTACACAAGCCAACAGATTAACAAGCAACACATCTGATTACACAACATACAAACCAACTACACGGTTACCTGAAAATCAAAAAGAAAAAAAACAGGCAAGGTTACAACCAATCATCACTGATTCAACAAACCTACCTCCATCTATCTACTCATCTTCTACAATTTCACCAACATATTCAGCTGCTACAATAGATCTCAATCCTACTCAAAAACCATCCTATAGTGAGATTGCATAGAAAAGTTTCAAATTACCAACTTTTAACACACCAGATAGTATAGAGTAGGCAAATCATATACAAAACAAGATAGCAGAAGGAACCAAAACACTATTTGATCAACAGCTATGGTCATATGACACAATAGCAACAGCACTACAAACTGCAGCTGGTATTTAGCAGTTTGTTAGACACAAACTTAGTTCCATCTCAACTCAAATAGAAATACCCTCAGCAATACAACTAAATTCAAGCATCAAGACACAAGATTTTTCACTACATTCACAAGAAATGCTAATACAATGCCAGCACACCAAAGAGAGTATGCAAATCTGTATAATGATGCAACTAGAAATTATAAAACCTCTAATCAAATTACTATCATTGATCGAAATACTCATAATTTAATTCACTTAATGCTAAAGAAAATGCTAATCTTACAATATCTGATGAATACAAATTTTGTAGCTTTTATACTCTTTGCAATACTTAAACTTATTTATTACACCAGGGGTTTTTTTACAAATCCAAAATGAAAATGAACATACACCTAAAGAAATCAAAACAGCAATTAATCAGGCATTACAGAAAAAACTTGCTCTATTACATGAAAGTCCAGAGCAAATTCCAGATACAGTCCAACACATATTACCATTCAATCTACCTATTACACAACACTCATATATCAAAGCTATAGTTAATAGATTATGAAAAATCTTTAGATTTGATCAGCTTCCAGAGTCATATTTTGCTAAACTGCCATCACCACCAGAAGATGTAACTAATATCCACTCTGAACTCAAGCAATATTTTCTTATTACAAACTGACAAGCTCTTCAAAATCTGAGATACTATCATTGCAAGCTTGCAGATTACTACACAGTTGACTCTATTCCTAAAGTATATTTCCAACTCCCACCACCTAAACAGCCACTCCCTACAACTAGTGTTTGTAGTTGGTTCTTAAATATCAACTGACTAAGTCGATAAAATAAAAAACAGTTTAGCCAGCTTAGTTGACTAAGTAATAATTATGCAAAAATTAGATACCCGGAATATAGTCATGGACAATATAATTATAGTAATTATATCTGATGATTTTCACTGAGTGTACATACGTATGTATGTACATATCTGCCAAAAGATTGTATCTGTTGTGCTTCAGATCGATTTTTGTCTCAGGTGATAACTGAGGCATCTCAGGTATTGATCGTTTGGCCGGCATTAACTGATCGACATTAATTGGCCTAAACTATAGCCTAATCCTTACTCTAACCCTAACTCTAATTCAGGCTGATTGACACCTAAGATAGGAATTGATTTGGATTATTAGGAGTCGACTAAGCTAGTTTTTAAAAAATTTAACTGACTTAGCCAGCTAAGTCAACTAAGTCAACTAAAGTGCTATTGACTTAAATCACTATCTACAACATACCAAGAACTAAACCCAAAGGTCAGAGGATTCTTCCTCTATCATGCAGATGCAACAAATATACTACTAGCAGATGTAGTAGCTTTAGTACAACAATACTATACATTCAAGCTTCTTCTTAATAATTATTTCACAACTAAACCATTACTCCTATCAAATCCAGAGTATATGAAAACAAATATACAATTTACCTTTCCAATTACAAATAATATTATAGCACAAAACTTTATGCATAAAGCCTCACAAAAATATAGAATATGACTCCCACTGCCACATAAAATTATACAGACAAATCCTACCAATAAACCTAGTCTACCTACTAGCGATCAGGTTACAGCAGAATACAAATTCACTATACCTATTATATCATCTCAGCAACTTACACAAACTGTGAAATTCCTCTGTCAACATTACTACTTTACAAAGATACCAGAAGATTGGATAAAAATTCTAATTCAAACAGCTACAACCACTAGCTCTAATGATACAAATGCTATTGAACTACCTTTACCTCCTATATCAAACAACTTAGAGGATATAAATGCAGCTCTAGCATCTCACAATATACAGCTAATATTACCAATTACATTACAAGCACTAGTCACTCCTACTATACAAACACTGCACTAATATTTCATAATTAAAGCTATCCCTAGCTTTTTACTTAAGTTATCTCCACTACCAACCCATTCTGAACAATATTTGCTCATATAAATCCATCTTCTACCACT